TCGAGTAGGTCTGCTTCCATTTAGCTGTATTTTATCACTCATGCACACGTACTCATTCCTTGCTATAAAGTTGCACGCACAGAAACACAATCTTTGTGGGCTACATAAGCCCCTATGGCTAAAGTTCTTTCACAGGAATACTTCATTCAACCCTCATTGTAAATGTCACATTCCATCATTATAATTTGAATCTCTTTACGGGGCTACAACAGTAAGGGCAACTAAGGGCAAAAAGCATGTAGAGGTACCATCATATCAACCACTTAAACAAGTGGGTCTTGGGTTCCAGTAACCAGTTGCTGTTGCTGCTGCTGTGACACACAACCAGTTTGTTTCTCAGTTCTGTCAACCAGTACACACACTGTCCCCTTCTTGCTATATCTCCTATTTCAGTGATCCAGCAAGATTCAAGGGTTGCAGAGAGATGGAGACAGAAATAATGTTTCAAATGAAATTACAGAAGAAATGCACAGCCTGTCACTGCACAGTAAATTCCTCTTTGTCCCAGATAATTCTCAAAATTACTACATCTTTTAACTTCAAGAAATATACTTGTTGTGCATGGTATCAGTTTATGCATCAGGGGTATAGCTGACCACAGACCTCAAATAATGATGTCTTCATTTCAACAAATGCAGGCTCCCATCAGCTACTAAGATGCCAGGCACAACTTTTCATAAACCTGGGTTCAGTTGTATATCTTTATAGCTTTCTCCAAGTAGTTGAATCGTGAACGCTTTGGAGTCTTGTTGATGTGATCTAAGCCCAACCATGGCTTTGGCGTTGAACTTCCTACAACATAGCAGGAGCAATATTGTACAACTCAATCCAAAAGTTTGTGACGATGGTGCGTTTTCAAAATAAAAAGTTTTCCATCATCTAATAAAATAATAAAATTGCACGACATTTCAGAGATGGGACTCTATCTCCGTCTTCAGGTATACCTACTCTGATGGGCCCAATCGATAGAGCTAATCCCTATCTTAATATTGTACAACTATGTAATTCTGGTCCAGGATTCAAAGTAACAAATAAAACAGAACATTTTAATATAACGCACATAATATGAATTTGGTCCAATTATAGGCCTATACTGCAACATTACATAATCATTCCTTAAACCATTAGAATTTCAACAACAAATGTTATCAACCATACCTTGATTTGGATGATTTTTGAAATCTTGCAAGTTAATGAAGAATTCAGATTCCTCATTAATAAACTGTGGTCTTCCCACCAGCACAAGAGCAAATTTAAACTGTAACAGAGAGAGTAACAGTAACTTAAAATAACTATACCTTACCAAATGAGCATAAGATATACATGACTGCAACGTTGTGAAATTTATCTAAAATATTATTTGTCTATACACAACACTTTCACTTTGTGTCGTGTTTAATTCATTTGCAACAACATGTTTTGTGAGTCTCTAAAATGGATATTAAAGATCATTTAAACTATATGCAGGTTTACACTGTAACTTACAATTCAATGTACAAACCTTTTCAAATTCTTTTTCTGGTATGCCTAATTTCTTCTGTAATCTATCTTTCACCTTGGAGAAAGGCTCCCCCTGCAACCAACCAAACAAATTCAACAGAACATACATATATCACAATAAACTAATTAATGTTAAACTAATCAACATTACAACAGACTTGGAGATCACTTCAACATGTTCTTTGTGTATCAAAAGTTCACACCTCATTCAGAATGTGCACACTAGATGCATAACAGAAGGTACAATTTTTTTTTACAAAATTTTACAAGAATAACATGTTCTCTCTCTCTCACATGCATTTAAACAAGATAATTGATTTATCTGCTAGAAACACTTCAATAACACTGACAAATAGTCTACTCTTTTTGTTTACAGATTAAAAACTCACATGTTTCACTTTAAGAAAGAAAGGAATCCCAAATGGTGTGTAGATATCCTTGCAGAAGTGGGCAACTGGGATCAGCATCTCATCATCTGCCAAGTTCAACTCGTCTCGTGGGATCTCCTCTATCCTACAAAATATAACAAATCTGATATATACAAAACAGTGGGGCAAAAAGAATACATATGACTAAAGCTGAGGACAAACATCCACATCTTCAGTGGGATTCAAACCCAGTATCCAAGCAGTGAAGACCTATGCCCTAGACCAGCATATCTCAACCTACGGTACGCAAGCCAATGTTGAGTGGTATATGAAGTAAGAAAATCAAAATATAATATTAACATAAATAAGTTTTCTATGAATGCATTTGGTTAGTGGTACACTTAATGTGTTAAATTAAATACGTATTTTATTACATTCCATGGATCCATAAGACAGTCAGATGACAACAGGATGTGGAAAAAGTCATAATAATAATACAACACATATTATAAAGTTAAATAAGGCTTAAATCTCCTATAACTGTACAACACAGGTTAAAGGCAAAGGTCTCCACAATGTTTTTCTCTTATGGCACAAGTTCCATGCTTCTAACTAAACTGAATCCTGAACTTTCTTCAATTAGAAGATGGCTGTCTTCTGGGTTGTAGTGTCATGTAGTCTGGTAGAAGTTTACTAACATTTCTGAGGTCCTTGCTCCTTGTGATGCTCATTGCCCTGATGACGGAGGCAACAAGGACCTCAGAAATGTTGGTAAACTTCTACCAGACTACATGACACTACAACCCAGGTGTCAGCCATCTCAGACTTCCCGTTGTGAAAACCTCAAATCCTACTTCCTTCAATTATGGTACGACCTTTACCGCCTCTTCAGAGGAACATTGAATGGGGGATATCAATATAATAATTAATTTATATCTTAATTGCGTCATGTTTGTGTTATATCAATACAGTGAAACCTCTATCCATCGTTCCCGGAACTATCGTTTTCCCGGATGCATCGTCCGTTTTGTTCGGTCCCGAATACATCCCATATAAAATAATGTTACATTTTCCCGCTTCTATCGTTCCTCGAACTATCGTTTTATCGCATCGATCGTTCAAAAATCGTAGTCCCGGCCCACAATTTTCCCGCAATGATCGTTCCTGAGAATTTAAAATGCTGGGTTTAGAGATAAATTAATACCGAAAGACGCACAATGTTTTTGGAATAAACAGTAGCGGTAACCTGTTATGTCGCCCAACCAGCACAGATTCTTTTGGAATGAGGGGTCAGCGGTGCAGGGGTGATAGTTGGAGTGAATGGCGGTGCCCATTGTCAGAAATTTTACGATTTTAATTAGGGTGCACTCATATTTCGTTCCAGCGATGCCAGATGGCATGTGCAGTGTGAATTTCTTCACAAATGCTTTTATTACAAGGACAAAGGAAAGGCGAAAGTGCTGCTGTGGATGTGGAAATAACGGAGCTGTGGCTCGAGAGACTGCCAACACTGCTGGAGGGATATGAGCCGCGGGACATTTATAATGCGGATGAGACCGGACTTTTCTACAACGCCCTCCCGGATAGGACTCTGGCATTGAAAGGTGAATCTTGCCACGGGGGAATACGTGCAAAACACCGAATTACTGTTCTTCTGTGTGTTAACAGTGACGGTAGTGACAAACGGGTTCCGATTGTAGTTGGAAAATCACGAAAACCGCGTTATATTATACGACACAGAAAAGCGCCATAAAATATAACATAATGCAATTTATATTGTAAATGTTATAAATAATTTTAACAACATTATTTTAAAACAAGTTTTGTGTATAGACTGGAAAAATAAATATATGTATATTAATTAAATTGTGAGATTGGAAACAAATCCATTATTCAAAAGAAATACTTCCATAATCAAATAATATACAAACTCACCTAAATGCCTTTGTGCCTCCAGTATTCAATGATTCTAATGGTGCATCTTCCTTCAATCCACATACTATTTTATTGCTATGAATTTCACATATCCTAAAACAAGAAAATTATGTATTGCAGCTGGTATCCCAATCTGAAATTATCTGCATATCACATGTAGATGGGACTGTCTATTCAATGTGGAACTATACCTAAGTTTCCCTGAACCATTCTCTGATAGCTCAACTTGCTTTCTGGCTTCCTCCAAGAGATCAGCAACTGTTCCATTCTTGTTAGGATAAAGTATCAGTTCTTTCTCCTCCTTTAGTTTTGGGCCCACCCAGACACACTGCAATTCATATTTATCACAAGAAATATGTTAGAATAAAGTGCAATATACAATGAACATTAAAATTAAAAGGACTGAAAGAATATTGTAATAAAGGAATAACATCAAGGACACAACATCCACTAAATACAAAGCAAATTACTGAAATTGATATCTGAATTTCTTTCCCCTTAATGGTATAAGATAAGAAAAAAATTGTCACCTTAAACTGTTTCTTATTTTCCAATTCATTGATTCGTATACTCAGCTGCTGGTAAAAAATCTTCTTGGGTGTTTTTGGTTTAGAATATACTAGTAATTCCTTCAGTGTTCCTTCAAATGTACATCGCAGAGGGTGGCCTGGACTATCCTTATAACTGTTGAAATAAAAACATACCGTTACTGCATCACAGTCTAATTAAGTTCATTTATACACAAAGTATAACAAACATCCAGTTTGAAGTTCACAAAACAATAATTACGAATAACAGCTTTCTAGAATTAAATATTTGGCTGTGTAAGTAAATTGAATTTCTTCCCAGACATATCTATGTACTAATTTCTTGTGTGTCTACACTTAATAATATACAAATAAAGTGGCATGCACAGAGACTTAAGTTTGATAAAAGATATTTAATAATCTTCAACCAAACTACACATAAGTAATATTTAATAGCATGAGCCTATTAAGATAGGGGTGCTGAGCCTTCAATTCTTCTTCTTGCATCAAAGACTTTCTTACATAAGACTTATGAAGGCATTTCTTATATATATATGACACCTGAAATTACTTTCTTGATGACAACAAATAAAAACAATTCAATACATTTGAAAACATTTACAAATTTATGTTTTAATGCTGTGACCTATATTCTGCACATCTCTGTCAAAACAAATTATGTTTTACCTATGTGTGACCATGGTAAGAAAGAGGGGGAAAGAATTATGTCACACATACCTTTATTTCTTTCTTTGGAATTTAAAATTCCAAATTATTGTGACTTACTATTAACAATAACAATGTATAGTAACTGTTACTATATAGACAGCTGTTTTTGGTAAGTTCCAAAACTAAGCGACAACAATTTTAAGTACCTTAAAATGTGCAATCTTTCAACAATGTCCAGATTTATTTAATATAGCAATATTTTCAGAAAGGTCACCTCTCATGTCTTGACTACAGCGATTCATCACATTAAAAAGAAAAAAACAGTGAAGTGAAAGTTATATGTGGGCAGATTATTTTCTGAAGATACAAACAGATTCAGTTAAGTGATTTTGTATTTTAAAGGTGATAATGGATCAGATTTTTACAGTGCTAGTATTTATAAAATTCACTTATAGAATCACATCTAAAATAACATACTTCTGGCATTTGAAGAACTGCAGAAGGTATGGATCGGTACCAACTCTCTGTGCCACAGCATGTGCCATCTGGTCATATGTCATTCTCTGGGACAGGTCAATTGTGAAACCAGGATCATTAGGAATCATCTTATCACAGAATGTAACCTCTACTCTGTGGAACAAATCCCTGTAACAAACACCAATTAGATTAACATCAGAACTTTTAATCTTGTTCAACCTTTCATACTTCCTCTCTTCCAAAGCCTGACAAATATTTTTAAAAATGTAATCTTCATCAACCTATAAGATGCTGCAAGGAACACTCTACATAATCATCAGAGATACATAATATCCAAAAAATTATTTAAAAAGTACAGGTGTTTTGCTCATAAATATGGCCTAAACATTCTCATTCCTAACAGAGATTTGATTTAGTTACTGTCACAAAATTGAAGAGATTATACAAACTCGGTGCCCCACTGCTGGAAAAATGAAAGTATCGATAATTCAGAATAAATGCCAGTCTAACTGATGTTCCAGCAACACCTAGAAACACATATGTGCAATTAGAAGTCAGAATTTGTACTGAATAGCCAGAAAAGGGCCCCTTGCTTCTAAATGCTGGCTGTCATTGGTATACACATATTTAAAATACACAAAACATAATTTTGTATGCTACATGGTATAGTACTGTAAATGGAGTTACAATTAAAGCTTGTGTGTTGACTTCTGAGCTGCCAGTTATTTTCATAAGTGATGCTGAGAAAGATTACACAAAGTTGCACTGTACTGTTAGAATGCCCTTGCATAACATCCACATTTCAATGCTTATGGAAATGACTCACTTGAAATAATCTCGACATGTTGGTAGCTCATACATGTCATCTCGTTCGTCCTTCTGGAACACGATGATATCACCATCCATCAGTTCTTCAAGGACTTTCTCCAGGGGCTCATTGTAGTTTTCAATTCGCTCTACCATATTAGGTTTTATTTCCTCATAAAGAACCAAGTCTGTATCTGCAGCAAAGCCTGCCCGCTCATTGAGTAGAGGAATCAGTTCTTCTGCAACAGTCCCAAGTGCCACAGTATTCTGATTAGTAAGTCTACAAATGCTGGACAATTTTGAAGATACTGGCAATGCTTTTATACACATTATCTTTCTCATTTAATGGTGACATGAGTAGTGATGAGTTCTGATTGTAATTAAACTGCTAACAGGTGAGGCAGAAGAGTGGTTGTGCATCAAACAGTATGACCTTAGACCTTCACAGTACAAGTTTGTGCACTGAGTACTATTCTGTGATGAGATGCAAAACATTTTAATTAGCTCAGTATATTGACAGAAGAAATAATGCAAGTAAATAGGTCACATATGTCATAATGTCAAGCAGGATAACTGCCATTAATTATAATGAAAAACATTTAAGCTTGAAGAGATGGTAAAGTAATAATATGAGAATTCCAGAACTAATGATTTGAGATCATACAATAACATTAAACTTGTGATGTGTGCAGCTACTTACGGACTTTGGCTGCAACAGGCATATAATGGTGGCCACAATAGTGTATCCGCTTTGTCTTTGGGTCATAGAACTTGAAGAATAACAGAACATCAGAATCCTTATCAAACGGTGGTAGGGCCTGTAACCCTGAATCTGGGGGAACAACTTCCACAAATACGTTCCAGGGATTCTGGTTTTCTGCCACATCCAGTACTGATTTGTGTAGGTCAGTCTCCAAATCAATCAGGGTTGGGCGACATGTCTGGTTCGATCGATAGCTGAATGGCCATGGCCTGATTTGTTCAATAGGATACTTCTGTAATAGTGATAACACATTATTAATATCAATCATTGGTTAAAAGTGAGCCACAATATACATTTCTTTAGTACAGCTGTAAGTAACTCAGAATAATTTCTCCATACTGACAAAAAACAATGCATACAAAACTGCATTATATGCTAAGCTGCAGCTACAACACAGAGGGCACGGAAAAGATAAATATAGCAATAATGAAATAAAAATGTAGGCACTTCATATGTGAGAAGTATAATAGCAACAAACAGAAGTGTTAGAAATATACTAAAGAATAAAAATGCAGGACAACTGTACAAATTAGTGAATAACATACTCTGGAAATGCCCACGAGGAAAAAATTATGCCTATCTGAAAGCTACTACATACCCATAAAAACATATTACTCACAAGACTGTCAGCCAGATGTTCCAGCAGTTCTTGCAGTGTTGTCTGTTTGCGAACTCGGAAAACTCTATAAAGTGCTCGATCAGGGTCATATAAGTCATTACCCTGATGGCCATCAAAGCTGTCTTCCAGCAATACCTGTACTGACATGTAAAGATGTGCCTCATTGCGCTCTTTACGCCGAATCTGCTCCATTCGCTTTTCTTCCTGTAGTCGTTCTACCAGCTGAAGAATAAGGAAAATATCAGTCTGCCTACTTCAAAATGAAATGAAGAATAGCTAATTATTGCATTACGAGAATTAAAAACACACATGTAACATATAAAATGACAAAACAGGACAAGTTCCAGTATCCAACAGAACACAAAAAATGCCTGGTTATATACTGTTAAAACAAAAATTTGGAATCTGCTGGATTATCACAAACAAAACCATTAAAATTGTTGGATCAGCCAAGGGGAACCATGTGAATGGCCAATTATTACCTAAGTATAGATTTTAAGACATAATTTCAAAGATTCGCATCATTGTGTTTCAAACTGTTGACTCAAAAATTATAAAGCATACATAATTTGTAGGCATGTAGATGACCTATTTCCATAACAAATTACAGATGCTTAACTCCAACAGCAGCTTTCATTAAAATTAACACAAATTAAAATTTTGTGCACTCACCTAGTTGCTTTATAATCTACAAAATAAAATACAAAAATACTGTGACAATACATCTTAACCAATCATTATTAACTCTCAGAAGCATATGATACCCATAAACAAAACATACAGAGTTAATGACAAAACAGATAGTACATATAATTATTCCTGGACTTTGAAGGGCTGAGTAGCGCTACTGTTGCTCCCACCTCACAAGTATGCATGTAACACATGGCATTACTGAGAGCAGGAAATTAAAAACAAAGACTTTGGAGTAGCCTTCAAAAGCATAGGTCTGCATTAAATTTTATTAACATATTTTCAAAGGTTGTTGCAGGCAGGCAGATAGATGGAGAGATGGCCACAATTAGCCCTATGTGTATTCATTTAGTCCACATCATGCAAAGAAAAGCCATTTTGCATTATGTTACGGTAAAATTTGTAACATGTTCCATTATTACACAATGTTTTATTTCAGTTTTACATTGAAATATGGCAGCAGAACACCCATTTCTTATGTGGCTTATAACTCAAAATAATTTGAGAAGTTTGGTAGATTCCACCTAAGTCTATTACGGTAAAGATACTATGGACAGATCCTGTATAATCCGAATGAGGGTGCACCAATAAAGGTTCATAACTGCTTTGCCACTGACTACAAATGGTCTACACTGAAACAATATAAAATTCCATGAAATATATATTTCAGTTCAAAAGGATGCATGTAAAATACAGAGTTGTCATGAAGTCCCAATCCATTTGGTTGAAGAACACGGAATTCTTTCCAAGTCAAAGCACCCTACTTACACCATTTTATGTCAGTAGCTCAGACTATACAGCACAAAATTACAATTAATGAATTGGAAAGATATGCAAGAAAGTGACTGGCTTATTTACAGTCTCCACACTGGAATTTGAACCTAGGACCTTCTGAATATGAAGCAGTAGCGATAACCATCTGACTACTATGTCAGGTGGTCCACTTATTTCAGTTTAAAGTGTAACATGCGTCTGTAAAGAAAGACTTAAGGCAAAAAAATTTCAAGTGCTTGTAAGGAAATTCTACAGATTATAATTCTTATTTTTTATCAAGGCCAAGCTGCTCCCTATTTTGCAAACAGTGTATGAAATTACTTTAACACAGGTCAAGGATCACAGACTGTGAACCTCAAGTCCTCAGATTTAATTTCAATGGTTCAATATTCTGTAATGTATTCATTTCAGACAGAACTTTGTATTCTTCCTTGCATTCACATTATAGTAGGAAAAAAACCCCAGTCTTTACAACATGTTCAGCTACAGCTATATAACATTTGTAATGGCAGTCAGTCCTGACAGAGACCATGCACTGTACATTACAGAACTGAGACGATATATAAATAAGGCAGAAGTGACATGAGCAGTGCAATTCTGCAATTTCCACCTGACACCACATAACCAAACTGCACAGCTCATTTAAATAACCTTGTGCTTTACCCCTGGATAGTTTGCTTTTCGCTTACAAAGAGTATGCCTGTGACAGGTACTTTGTAGAAAAAGATTTCTGTTTCACCAGTCTCAGACTCAACTTTCATTCCAAACTTTTCTGACTTCAACATCATTCCGTTTCTCTTAAAATTTTCAGTTTCTCACAGGCAATAAACAATCACAGGTGCTTTCATTCATTTCCAACAGCTGTATATATACCTGTGTCACCATTATTTTGGCATATTACACAAGGGGGACTGGAGGACAGTATAATTAGGTCTGTACAGGCCCTGTTCAAAATGATACTTCTCCATTGTACACACAATGTGCACAGTGGGAAAGTAAAACTACAGAATGAACACTTCTGTGCAGAGTTTTTTGACCAGAGAATACAGCACTGCTCATTTGCTGCACAAATCAAGTCATAATGAGGTCAACCAAAATCAATTCTATGGAGAACAGATGCCAGATAAATTAACACAGATAATTATGGCAAACCCTAACAGCAATGAAAACCTGTTGCAAATGGAAAAATAGAGCAGCTGAAAATACTATATACAACAAGAACTGAACTCCATGAAGCAAGAGCAAGGGAACTTTTGAAGAACAAGCTTCTAAATCTGCCTAGCAGCCAATACAACTAATATAAACAATGGTGCCAAACCTACAGTTCCAACATGTATATTAAAATGTGTAGCACCTTCAACCACTCAAACCAAATCCTCAAATAAGACATGCATCTTGTCATTTTTATGTACACATTTCTGAGGAAAGGTGTACATGGTATATGGATACAGTATATGAAAACTTAGTGACAGGTTTTGGAATTACACACTGCCTTTAATTATAAATTCAGGAACGTATTAAAAATTATATTACTCTAATACTTCAACAGAACTGGAGCTGTATAGTCCTGAATGGTGTAGAACTGTTATGATCATGTGTTCTACAAATTAGATTATCTGATGTTCTGGGTCCAGTAAATAAAATGGTCAAATCACTGAATGATACACAATCAGAAAAATGGCCTCTATAACAAAATTATACTATGTAGGATTTGAGGTTTTCATGGCAGTGAGACAGAAGACAGCCATCTTAAGATTACACTAGATCAACCACACACACATGGCAACAAAATGTTAATTTTATAATGCCATTATCCAGAAGAACTGATATTAAATACTAAACATATTCTGAAATCCACTCCTTGAAATTTGGTTTTAAACATGAATAAAAAGTGACAGTGGAACCACGGTTCCGGAGAATTTGACGTAAATATGTCTATACGGAAAGGAAGTTTATATATTGGCTTTATTCTAAATATTTCCTTTATACATGCTTTACAATTGCATTAAGTTTGATTAAGACATTGCTTATTTAACTTGAATTAGTTACGCTTAAGATGGGTCTGTGGTAGATGAATGTAATGTAAAGTAATGTAATGAAATGTACTGTAATAATTATTATATAAGATAAGTACTTGTGATATTCTAAAAAGTTTTTGCCAGCACAAAATTATCTACTTCACGATGCAAATAATGCCGAGTAAACACGACGTTCCCTAGGTAACCATTGTTATCGGATCTTACACATTTTCCTGTCACTTTTTCATTTCCCTTTCTCGTGGGTCTGTGGTAGATGAATGTAATGTAAAGTAATGTAATGAAATGTACTGTAATAATTATTATATAAGATAAGTACTTGTGATATTCTAAAAAGTTTTTGCCAGCACAAAATTATCTACTTCACGATGCACTTCTACAAGCGATCCACAGCTCAGCTCCTTCCGCAATAACGAAATCGGATTGTTGACGGCAGTAATGTAACACAACGATGCCGAGTAAACAGATGACGTTTCCTAGGTAACATAACAAGGCAGTTACACTTTTTCGCCGAATGACCCTTCCTTATAGACGTATTTACGTCAAAAAGTCTGTAATCTGTAAAATAATCAAACTTGTGCTGTTTTAAATTAAATTGCCAACTATTATTTACATCTTCATAGTTTCTAGGTAGACATAACATTTGAGTTTTGTATGACAGAATTATTATGGACCTACTTTAGTGGAAATATATTTTAGTATTCTCAAAAGATCTCAACTTAATGACATAATGTCTTATGTGATTAGATAAAGATAAAAACAGGATCCTCCTGCTTCATATTTTGGAGGTCCCTGGTTCAAATGTTGGTCCGCAGACCAGCTCTGACTGTATGCTTATTTGTGATTTTCATCAGTCTCCCCAGGCAAATACTGGAATAATACCTTAAATTAGGCCATGATGGCATTCTTCCATAACCCTTTCAATTAATGTTCATTAACCATCGTATCATTTGATACTTCATAATCTGAACTACTGACAGCAACAACGAATAAAACACAAACAAATAAATAAACGGAACAGCAATAAAAATTGCCTGAAAAGCATTTTAATGTAAACAGACAATGGCAATTAGAATACAATCTTACTACAAACTGGAGAACAGAAATAAACCCAATATTATATAAAAGGTATATTCAAAATGCTGTACAACTAAATTTTGGAAGCAACACAAGTGTGAAACTTTTAGAAGAAACAAAGCATTAGTGAGAACTATGCTAATCAGGTTCTATGTAACCTGGGCACACTGTTTCAGAGTCCAATGAAACAGAAAGTCACTGCTGCTGCTTCTTATTGCTCTCAAGTCTCACCTCCTGTGGAATGTCCTCCTCAGTCACTTCTTGCAGCACATTCTTCAACTCTGAATCACGAATGTATACCAACATGTATGCGTTGGTACAATGTTTCACTGTCATATTCATGTCATCATCATGGCCACCATAGTTGTGATCAATTGCCTCCTGTTTTGTGCATCGTGATACCACATCATCATCAAATTTGCACCACTGAAATTCACAAGATATTTATCAGATTCCACATTCTACACCTCTGAAACTCTTCAGAACACAGAAGTCCAAGGAGTTCCCAAAAACTTAAGACCAATTTCTATTTTACAGTTCTTAAGTTTTTACAGCAATAACAAATAAAGTTTTTCAGGTTGCAGTAGTGTCATTTTGGAAGAAACTTGATTTTCCAGAAATTCTATTATGAATGTAAGCAGCAACTTCCTCCAAAATGCTTACACTTCCTCTACACACACACAATTCTACAACCTAAATAATTTAACAATTAATGTTCCTTCACTTTCACTGACTTCAACAATGAGATAGAAATGGTATAAAATGAAAAAAAATAATGTTTATAAGATTATTGGTATGACAATGTAACATGAATATATATTAATAGGCATCTAAATGCCATGAACACCATGTCAACCAAGTACATGTGACAAATGTACAGCTTCCCACAATCTAATAAAACATATGCACTTAGATAAAACTCCTGTTCCTTTGGAGTGAGCGTTGCCAGGCTCGAAAGACTGGATGGAACCTCCGACAGATCCATCACGCACCCAAGATGACCCAAAAAACGATTCCTATAGGATTGGAATAGGTCTTTGTGTCTACCCTGACAACATCAAATAATCTGAATGTGATATGCACAGATCAATAAACTGTGTGAAAGAGCTTCTCAACATCTCTCCTCCATGCAGTTAGTATGAATTTAAACCGTGTTCACACAGAGCAATCATATACACTTTCAGATAACCTACAATCACTGCCAAATGAAATAAATTCTTAACCCGACTGGTTTCCCATGCTGCAGCAAGAAAAAGTTTCATTATACTTATACAGACAAAGGCAGCATACCTTGCCATCACCCTTAGGGTTAATGAAGACCACGTAATGCCCTCCATGGTTATCACCACTATGCACCAACACTGCATGCAATATATAATCTGCTCGCGTTGGTTCAGGTGTCTGCAGATATGACTCTAGGCTAATCTTTTCATCGAACTCAAACCTGGAATAAGTATGACAAAATTTGAAAAAGAAAAGAAAGAGACTGTAACAAAACATTAAATACAATTAAAACAAGAGGGGATAACTTCTCGGGAAGGATACTACAGAAAAGGAGAGGCAAGGAGTCCAAGAGTAGAGTGGATAAAATATCTGATGATGACTTCACTCACCAGAAATGTGGCAAGTTTGTTATCCAACTGAAAACCATCTTAAAAGTTCACACTTGTATGACTCATTATTCATTAGGTTTGTGTAATACTTGGATGAAGAATATATATGAATATTCTCAAACAATTCATCGGTTTAAAGAAGCGACGTACTGACCTGTCATTGAACTTAACAGAGCAATCAGTTATTGGATCATACTGGAACCTCATGAGGTGTAAGTGTAACACAGGAGGGAATGAAGCAAAGATGACGCCCTTCTCCGCATCTTGGAGTCCATGTTCGCCTGCATCATACTTGTTGTCTCCATCCAATACTTCAGTTGCAATATAGTCATGGAAAGACTCTTCAACTGAACACAGAAATTAATTGGTGAGATATCAGGTTCTCATAGTAATAAGAATGAAGACTGCACTCTTCTGGGATGCTGTACTACCTCCATCATCAGGGTGATGAGTGCTCCTCTGAAATGTTGCTCAGTGAAATGCTACTATCAGTTCAACATCCCAGGAGACAGAAATCTTAAAATTAATAAATGTCTCTTAACATTTGACTACATCACTTACCAGACTTCAGTAATTACAATGGAACCCAGAAAATTACTTATTGGGGAAAGAAGCGAAATGGTCATTTACTTAGTTATTCAGAAAATACAAATACAGCATAGTTAAACAAAACTTCCTAAGAACAAAGTACACTAATGGACTAAACCACATAATAGATGCTTATCTATTTTAGATTATATACTGAGACAGACAATTTCATTACACTCAAAATAATGTTTTTATACATAATTTATCACAGTAAAAAATATCAAGATTAATACTCACTATTTTTCTTTCCTTTAATATTCAGCTGGATGTCATAAAAAGTTTCCACTCTTGTTGACGTGTAATCAATATTTTTGCATTTTATGAAAGACTGGAACACAGAATAAGCACATGCTAAAATCACAATATTCAATGAGTAACTTGTCACTTTATATGAAAGAAAGTGAAAAAGTACTTACAACCATCTTCCCTTCAAACAGTTTGGGAACTGTTCCTTCTACACATGTCCCCTTCATCTTGCTCTCCAATTTGTCCAGCAACTGGAAGAAAGTATCATCAGAGGCATATTAAAGAATTATACATAAAAGGCAAACATAAACTATGACTTACTGTCCACCACTACACATTCCTTCCACATAAAAGTTAGATGTAACTTTTGAACATCATTCCACTGTGACGTCTATAATTTTTAACATGAAAAAGTTTCATATAAATATGTAAGAACTTCACAATTTATGACCATACTAAATTCTATATTCCTTGCTGTAATGGTACTTAGTTACTGCCATCACAAGCAATGCTTTGCCAAGGAACAAACTGATTATCAATTCACAAGCTTTTTAACAGCTAGCAAACCTATCTTGTGATAGAAACCACCCGCCCTAAAAATCTTTTAAACAGGGATCAGAAAAAAAATGAACAAAATGTATAGCCTATTTTACAAAACATTCAAGATCTGATTTCCTGTAGTCACATGTTTTTCCTAAATCACTTGCAGACATCATCACTGATCCTAATATCTGCTGAACTCACCACTCGCAGGAACTCCTGGACATCATGCTGCATGAAGGAATCTAGAGTCTCCCATCCAAATGACTTTGTCAACTTCTTTGTACCTACTGGTTTGTCACAGAACTGTAGTTCATGAAAGACTCGCTGTAATGCAAGAGCCACACTCTTGCTCGAGTCATCACTTTCTGTCGGCATCTTGTACACAGCCTACAAAATAGCGAGTATTTAAATGAATTACAGTTCATACCTTTGCATTAAATTCAACACTTTTACAAATTTTACCTGTATATACATATATTCTAAACAAATTTTCAACAGTGCAACACATTACACATATAGATCTATAATGCTACATCACATATGTAAAAATTACCACCTGTGCTTCTCTACAACAACCATACCTAATATATGCCAGTTCACACTAGTTCTAGCAACATGCTTTAGTTGCATGTCTGCATTGAAACAAACTTCTCTTGGACAATGAACGTGCTATTTTCCCACACTTTCCTTGGTCTTCCTGGGACACTTGACTAAACATTTTTCAAGCCAAACTTTGTACTTACCACCATAAGAACTACTAAGGAACTTATGCTTTGAATGTTTCATTGATATTTTTAAAGTAATTTAATCTTGAAGTTATGATGTAGTTGGAACATGCATGTGGGATATAAAATGTGTACATAATAATACAATACATTCATAAAAAATACCTTGTAATAAAGACAGAAAATATAAGTTTATGTTTTCCAAACTGTCAACACATTTTTCAATGTACAGTGAAACCTCGATGCATCGTTTTCGGCGGGGGTGGGAAATAAAAACGATGAATGCGGGAAAACGATAGATGCGGGAAAGCATTAAAAATTTAAAAAAAACAATGTTTCTCTTTCAAAGTTACTTCTTTTTACCAAAAAAGTCTTTAGTGGACAACTGGTTTGTCGAAACTTTACGTTTTAGACCAAACAGAGCACTTTCCACGTTCAAAATGTTTTCTTCGTCACGTTCACTAATATTAAGCGCATAAAAGAACAACTTCACTTTCGCCAATGCAGCGTGTGCTTCGGCAAAACTCGGCAAAGCTTCGGGCTCGCATTCGTCGTCTCCCTCTTCCTCACCACTCCAACCCCCTTTGCGGACAATAACAGGAAGAATGGAAATACTATTACTGCCGAACTCAACGAAACGTAGCTGTAGAAGACCCTGA